TGGGCAGGGGAGCGTCCAGACTAGCGCGCTGAGCGGACAAACAGCTGATCAGCTGTTTGTTGGCTCAGCGTGGCAGCCATGTAAATGTAAATGAAGCTGCGATCATTTAAATCGCGGCTTCATTTACCTTTGCTGAACAAACAAATCTACATGCCTCTGCCGACAGGGACACAGGCTCTGGAGGTAGATGTGGGTGACTTTATGGTTTTACAAAGAGAGGACCCAACACTACGGCACGCGTGGGAGAATGCGCAGGCAGGCGCAGAGGGCGGAGAGAGAGAGGGCAGAGGGTACAGACAAGGCCCCTACTTTGAGGTGCAGGGGGACAAACTGTACCGCATTACGGGCAGGGAAGGGCCCGAAGGGGGAGAAACTCAGTTGGTCGTACCCCGAGCCTATAGGTGGCGAGTAATGGAGCTGGCCCATAACAACCCCTGGGCCGGGCACCTAGGAGTAGAAAAGACACAGCAGCAAGTACTACAATGGTTTTACTGGCCCGGCCTCTACCAGGATGTTAAGAAATTTTGTATATCATGCCCACAATGTCAATGAACCGCGGGGGTGAGGGTGCCCCGAGCGGCACTAGTACCCATGCCCCTAGTGACAGAACCATTCGAACGTGTGGGCATGGACCTGGTGGGCCCCCTCGAACGCACACGGAGGGGGCACCAATATATCCTGGTGATAGTCGACTATGCGACTCGGTACCCAGAGGCCGTACCACTGCGCAAAACCAACACCGCCGCAATAGCAGATGAGCTGGTAAAACTGTTCGCGCGGGTCGGACTCCCAAAAGAGATCCTGACCGACCAGGCCCCGAATTTGGTGTCACGATTAATGACGGAATTATGTAAGTGGCTACAGATTAAGAAGATTCGCACAGCGGCGTACCACCCGCAGACGGACGGGCTCGTCGAACGCTTTAACCAGACCCTGAAGGCGATGCTGAGGAAGTTAGCACAGGACGAACCACACGATTGGGACAAGTTGTTGCCCCCACTGCTCTTCGCGGTCCGGGAAGTTCCCCAGTCTTTAGTGGGGTACTCACCGTTCGAGCTGTTATACGGACGACGACCGCGGGGGATATTGGATCTGGTAAAAGAAGGGTGGGAAGACCAGGCCCCGACGGCGTTGGGGGCCGTTCAGTACATCGTTAAACTGCGGGAGCGGATGCAGACGGTGGGGCGGTGGGCCCAGGACAATCTGCAAAGGGCGCAAGAAACGCAAGCCCATCATTACAATGCGGGGGCGCGTACGAGGACCTTTAACCCTGGTGACCCGGTGTTAGTGCTGTTGCCAGCCGGGGAATCCAAACTCCTCGCCAGGTGGCAAGGTCCATACCGGGTGGTGCAGAAGATCGGGGAGGTGGATTATGAGGTGCTAGTAGGGGGCAGATGACGGAGGAGCCAAGTGTACCACGTTAATATGCTGAAACGGTGGGTGCCCCGGGACCCCCCCTTGGTGGAGGCTCTCCACACGGAGATCGAGTTCGGGCGTTGGGGGAAGGAGGAGGTCACCTGGGCAGCCAGCCCCGTGGGAGAGGACTTAAACTGTGACCAACAGGAACAACTGAAGGGAGTACTGCGACGAGGATCATGTTGGATACTCCATCCCTGGCTATTAATAAATCAGGATTGGATTTTTTTGATAGTAACATGCTCTACATAAAAAAGAGTTAAGTATGGGAAGCTCTGTTGTCTGTGTTTGGAAGAAGGTCTGGCTAGATGATCACAATGGCATCTTCTGGTCTGGAAATCTATGAAAAGAAGAGAGAAGAAACAGAAAGTACAACTTGCCCACGGTCATACAATAAGTCAGAAGCAGAACTGAGAATAGAACTAAAATGTCATGGTCCAGACCAGTGACCTGTCCCTTAGACCAGTGTACAAGAAGGGGCTCTAGGGAGCGGTGTGGCACACACACATACACACACACACAAAAAAAAAAAAAAAAAAAAAAAAAAAAGGGGCGGGGGAGGAGGGGCGGGAGGAGAGAGGGACACACCAATTCATGAAAATCACATTCCTTCCCCGAGACCCCCCCCCACCTCCCTTCCGTGAGGCCTCATCTGCTCTGTTCCCCTCCTCTCCATCACTTGCTATACCCAGCCCTTATACTTGTTTCAACCTAGTGAGAGTGAGGTGTGGGGTGGAAATGAGGGGTTTAGGTGTGGGAAGGGGTGAGAAGTACAAGCTCTGGGAGGGAATTTGGATGCAGGAGAAGGGGCTGTTGGCTCGGGGAGAGGGCTCTAGGCTGGGGAGGGTTGAGCTCAGGTGGAAGGTTGGGGTGCTGAACAAGCCAGGGCTTGTGGATGTGAGGGTGCAGGAGTTTGGGTTGGATATGTGAGGGACTCAGGGCAAGAAGGTTGTGAGTATGATGGGCTCAGGACACAGATTTGCCATGTATGGATGGTGCAGGAGTGTTGTGGCAGAAGACTGAGGATGTGGGGATGCAGGAGTTCGGGGATGTAAGAGGCTCAGGATGGGGGTTCCAGTGTATGATAGGCTCAGATTTGGGGTCAGGTGGTGCAGGAGTGTTATGATGCTGCAGTGAAATGGGGGTTTGGTCCCAATTGGGGTCTTGTTGGCCAGGCTTCATTTTTAAAATAAAATATGTCAAACTCAAAAGGTTTTAGCATTGTCTTTATATATGAGAGGGGTGAGGAACCTGTTTTGAGTCAAAGGTCACTGACCCACAGAAAAGTCAGTTGGGGCCACACAAGTGAGATGCAAAAAACAAAACAAAAACCCTCCAAAAAAAAAAAACCCAAGCCTCACTAATGTGGTCCCAGATGTGCTGGTGGGGGTAGGGGACAGACTGCTGGTGGGTGCTGGGGCTGGGGAGAGGGTGCTACTGGGCACTAGGGTGACTGCCAGGGTGCTGGGACAAGGAACAGGGTGCTTCTGGGTGCAAGCGTGGATGGCAGGGTGCTGGGGCCAGGGCCAGGGTGGTGCTGAGTCTTGGGGTGTGAGGCAAGGTGCTGGGACCAGGGCGGTGCTAGGTGCTAGGGTAGATGGCAGGGCTGCCAAGGAGCGGGATAGGGATGGGGTGCAGGATCTGGGAAGGAGGTGGGGGGCGGAAGGGGGCAAGGTCTGGGTGGTAGGTAGGGTGCAGAAGCAGGCTGGATGTTGGGTGTCTAGCCAGGGGGAGGGAGCAGGAGCAGATTGGGGATAGGGTGTCTGGCTATGAGGAAGAGCGCAAGGAGTGGACTTGGGTAGGAGTTGGACCTCCCTGATCTGGCACCCTCTGGACCTGACTGGTGCCGGATGAGGAATTTTTGGTCCAGGGGAGGTCATTGCAGGGCTCCTGGTTTCCGCCCCCGTCCCCACTTGGGAAAAAGGACTTGAAATTTAGCCGGATGGATGCCCTAGCTTCAGGGATGTGCCTTTTGTCATCCCCGTGGAAGGCCGGCCAAGTTCTGAACCTCTCATAACACTCAATGCACAGTTAGCAGAGACTTGGAAAATAGCAACAAAATCCTTAGAAAATTCTGTCCACAAGGGTCATCCTTCTGCCCCTCACAGCTCCTTCATGCCAGCTGGGCTGTTCCTGTGCCTTCCAAGAGTGTGACTGAGCATGCTCTAGCCAAGAATCACAGGACCGGTCCAGGGCTTTCCCAGCAACTGCTCCTCCAGGCTGCTCGTATTCGCTGTGGTACCAGGCTCAAGAAAGTAGAGCAGGAAGATTGTTGCTACCATACATCCCCCACCCCACAGCCCAGCCCAGTCCAGCCCAGCTCCCCAGATCTCCCCACTCTGCAACCCAGTTGAACTCAATTTCCCTGCACCTTCCCCCAAACCATGCAGACATGCTGAGCCAGTGCTGATTCCCTGCCTCTGCCTTCCTCCCTCCCTCCCTCCGGCTGTGTCTACACTGGCGCGATCTTGCGCCAAAGCGGCCGCTCTTGTGCAAATATTTGCTGCCTGTCTACACTGGCTTG